TATTGAAGTGATTTGTGTGATTGAAAAAGCTGCATGGAGGAATTCTACATCATGCATGTCACTTGTAATACATTATCTACTCTAACTTCGAGTCGTTTTGCAGGCTCATGTGCTGAATGAGGTCCGCCGGAGAGCGCATGTTGTAGCACTTCGACTACATCATGATGAACATGCATAACCTGCTTACCCTCCCATGCCTTTCTCTTTAATAGGCATAGCAAAAATGTATTTGGTAAGTGTTCTATTTTTAAAGGAAATGACCAAAATGTAACATGTTATCTGTAGTTTGTGTCCAACACTAACACTAACAGTTATAAGTAAGATGTTGTGTAGTCAGAAGGTGCAAATAAATAATAAATTGCACGGTTTGCGTGAGACTCGGCTGGAAGGCGAGTTTTCCGGAACCGCCGTGGGAATGTGCAACAGCTATCACAATACTGACTGATGTGATACTGACATTCAACCACCTAATGATCCGGTGATAAGTGTTCTATCTTCAGGAAAGCATGTTTGTTGTTTACTTCGCACAAGCTGTTCATATCAGGGAGTAGTACAATACCCGATATTTTACTACTCACTGGTTCATAGTGATGTTTCTATTGACAAGGATCATTTGGGTCTTGAATTCGATTTGATGTAAATACATTATGTGTACATGGAGACCTCGAGCTTAGTAAACAGGCCATCAACTGTGTTGTGTCATTGTTCTTAAGTGTTGGCACAGGACTACATGCAACGTTAGGTGCTAATTGACGCCTGAGCTTTCTCATGACAATCCAAGAGGCGAGATCAAGTGTTTGGACAGCAGCAACATTTCTGGCTCTGGCTTGACAGATGCATAATGCTAATGCCAAGGTAGACAATAGTTTAGTAAACACACTGACCCTCATACACTTGCTACGCGTCACAATGCAGCCAAAGTCGCAAAGGGCCAGTGGGGTTATCTGGGCATGTCGAAACGAGAATGACACGTACGCGATATATAGCAGTTTCCGGTTGTGTTCATGATAGCTCTGTTGCGGTTATTATCAGTAGTGATGCATATGTCCTTCAGCACTGTTTCCTACCGCTTAAAAATGCTCGATATCAACATCTTCCGGTTGTTCTTCATGTAGACTATAACAGCGATTACAAGCTCTAGGTGTCTGTCGACAACACCAGTACATGTATTCAGAATCCATGTCATTGTGTGATCCTGAGGAGTTGAACTCTTCCGCCACCCGTGGAGAATACAGTGTAGTAGTGCTGTACTGTGCTGCATCAGCTGTTGTCTGCTGTACATGGACATGTATCATTCTGTACACGCATTGCTCGTTCCACTACATGCCGTCGCACGTTCTTATCGTGTAGTTCAGTTCTCCCTCCGATCGGATTCACACTATGTCATTCACGGCATCCAAAATAGCTCCAGGGCTCCGCCATGCTCGCCTGGAATGGTCAGTTACATGTACAAGTATAGAGTCGACCTGCTTTTGTACTTTTGTACATGGAGGACCCAGAGATACCAGGAGACATACAATGCGAGTCACAAAGTCTCCTCCTCCCAAGGATACTGGACCAAAAATTGCAAGGACTAAGGAATTCGAGCAGCAAGCCTGCCTGCATCCCTCATTCCCCAACGAGAAGCCCATGGATGTCAACTTTACCAAACTGCTCCCGGAATTCAGTTTCTTAGGAGGCACCGCTGGTGCCACCGTCCCCAACTTCCCTGAGGCTTCCAGGCAACTTTAGGACCAGTCGACGCCAGGAAAGACTCCAGCTTGGTGACTTTGGTGTTAAGTCTATCGCCTGAGGCAGGCATCGGCATCAGACCAAGGGAGAAGACCTTCCGTTACATTTTCCTTGTGCAGCGACTAGTTTGGCGTCTCACCACTTCCCCACTGTCGTGAAATGCCTGGAAAAACAAGACCGTACACACCGCATGAAATCTAACTCCAATCTCGGTTAAAATAGCTATCATTTTATTTAATATGCACGAACACAGAAAACTAACACTTTCTCTCCGCAGCTATAGACGTTAGGCCAGGTAACATCTCTTGTCAAGCTTTGTCACCTGATTCCACAAGAATATCACGTAACAATGCACAGATAACTCTATCTCACACACTCTATATCGCGCTACATATCATAATTATGGCAATTGTTATGCTGGGCTTGCCACATTCATGGTAAATGTATTTAGCAGCACTCTCAGGGCAGGGTCAGTACCAATTTTCGTCTGATGATCCATTTAGTTCGTGATACTCAGAGTTACGAAACCGCAACTGCTCGTTCTTCTGTCTGTGTATTCCGCTCTTTGCCTTCGGAAAATTGAGCCCTCTACGGACGGGGGATGAACCGCACATGAAATAGATAGAT